ATTACATTTACTGTATGTTATTCCTCAGTCAAATCTTATTTTGGTCCAAGATTTTTAAAAAACATTTATTTATTTATATATATATATAATTTATATATAAATATAAATAAATATATATTTATATATATTTTATATATATATTCTATATATATATATATATTCCTCAGTCAAATTTTATTTTGGTCCAAGATTTTTAAAAAACATTTATTTATTTATATATAAATATAAATAAATATATGTTTATATATATTTTATATACATATATATTCCTCAGTCAAATCCTATTTTGGTCCAAGATTTTTTAAAAACATTTATTTATTTGAGAGAGGGAGCATACACACGGGGTAAGACGGGCAGAGGGAGAGGGAGAGAGAATCCTAAGCAGGCTCCATGCCCAGCACAGAGCCGAGGTGGGGCTCCATCTCACGACCCTGAGACCATGACACTCAACCAGCTGCACCAACAGATGCCCCTTGCTCCAAGATTTTTAAAACAACTTTGTAAGTATTTTTTACTGATCTACATGTTGATTTTAGAATTTAACACTTAGATACCAATATTACTTTCAAGTTTAGTGTCATCTCACTATTGCTTTTCAAAACCTGGAACTGCATTAATATTCTCTAATTTTTTCAAAGTGAACACACATGCACATATCACTGTTTAAAAATTTTAAAGGTCAGTATATAAACAAAACCCACAATTTGAATATTCTAAAATCTGAATGGTACTTGTAAAGGCATTCTAATTTTTATTTTATTACATGAACTTCTAAGCATGACATAGATCCTTTGATGGGATTTCCCAGGACTTTTTAAAGTTACATATGCACAGAAATTTTTCTTTGAAAAAACATAACAAGCAAACAAAAACCACTGGATAGACAAAGGCAAGAATTAACCTCCCAGTTAATAGTTACATTTGCCATTTACAAGCCATGCAGCTTTGAGCAAGTCACTTAACCAGTGTATGTCTCAGTTTACCTGTATAACAGGAAGATGGAATCGGTTAAATACCTATACTACTCTTCTGGTTTCTAATTTTACCTTTATATTTAAAAGGAAGAGTACTTAGAGTCTACTAAGAAGAGTGTTATATGTAAAAAATAACTTGAAATTGCTTTTTAAAATGGGCTTTTCTCTGGTTTACATAACTTGAGTCTCATTAAATCATATAAAACTTATTATAAAAATTGTTATTTATAATAAAAAAGTAGTCAGTAAAAAAGTTCCCAGAATTTCAAAGATAAAGGGCACTTAAAAACCAAACCAAATAGGTTGAAATGTTAACATTCATTAAATCTGGATATTAGTCTCAGTGCTTATTATTTTGTTTTTAAGATATGATTTAAGATACAATCACTAGTATAATAAATATAAGAAATCCTGAACATCTTAAAAGAACTGGAAGCAAATATACAAAATTTCCTTATAGAAACTATGCTATTATTACTCCAATATTATTGTTTATTTGCTATTAATTTAATTTTAGAAACTGGAATGTTCTTACTGCATGCTCTTTACTATAATGGCATTCATCTGTGGACTAGAAATTCATTTACCAAATTGAAATCTTTACCTGGTAAAGCCTGGCATTCTTGTTGTCGCTGATCCCACTGGCAATTCAAGTTTAGTGAACAGCTTTTACAGCTGGTAAGTTTGTTACAAATCTGCTCATTTCTCACATGACATTTGGTGTAGTTTTTCACAGACTAGAAAGTTTAAAGATAAAGCATGTTATTTTTCATCTTTGTATAGCAATAATTCTTAAACTACATCATAAATATAAATCACAAGTAAATTTTAAAATTCAGATTTCTTTTCTTTTTTTTTTTTAAGAATTTGTTTGACAGAGAGAGAGATATCACAAGTAGGCAGAGAGGCAGGCAGAAAGAGAAGGGGAAGCAGCCTCCCTGCTGAGCAGAGAGCCCAATGCGGGCTTGATCCCAGGACCCCCGAGATCATGACCTGAGCTGAAAGCAGAGGTTTAACCCACTGAGCCACCCCAGATCGAGTTCTACTGAATCAGAATCTCTTTTACTCACTTCTTTAAACTATAGTTTTTGGAACTACAATATATACTTATTGGAAAAAATGTGCACATTTCGTAATTTGAAACAGAAACCATCTAATGAAAACCTTTTCTATTGAATCTGATAATAGGCTTCCATTTAATCAAAAAAGCCAATGCAGAGTCACTGCTCCTCATGACCACATGAAAAAATTCTAGTCATAATAAAACTATCATACAAACCCCTAGAAATGAAGTAGAAATGATAAGTAATAAAAAGTAAAGAGATACTTTATCAAAATCAATCTAAAAAGATGAATTATTTTCACAATAACTCAAACTAATTTTATTTCCACAGACATGAAATAATCATTTTGGTTAATTGACACTTCTGTATTTGTCACATTTCCTTTATGGTGGCTGCAAAGAAGCCGCAGAAGTCAGACTTTGACCAATCCTACCATAAAACATAATCATATTTCAACTAAACTCCAGCATTAAGAGATTAAAGTTAAAAAGATCAAAAAAAAGTGGGGGGGGGGAGAAAAGAAAAAATTTAGGCACCACAGGAACTTTGGTGGGAGTTCCCTATAAACATCAAAGTTCAGATATTTTACAGGATGTCATCAATATCTATGATTAAAATATTTGGTTCAATTCTTTCCATAACTCTTGAGAAGAAAACATAAAGGACTTAATGCTGAACACTGAGCTTCACTTCAATCTTTTTTTTCCTCTATAGATACAAATACTTAACTCAGGCTTTAACTAAGGGAGCTAAATATTTCTTTTTAGTCAATAAAGTTAATAGTTAAAATTTAATTATACCTATCTCACATATAAAAATGGTTGAAGCAACTTTTATCCTCTTGGGTAATTTAAACGTCACCCATCAAATATTTTTCTATAAACTACTATACTTTCCCACATGAAACACACTGCAGTCACCTCAATTCCAAAGATGTTCATTTCTTTAGAGCAAATTACATGTGCTATAAGGTAACAGATAAAAAGTAGATAGATACTAATGTTTGTCACTATTTATCCTAAAAAAAACCAGAGAAGATACATTTTTTTAATCTCAAATTACTTTGTGACTCTTATTCAACCACATTTTCATTCAGAACATATATACTTTTTCATTGTTACTTTTTCTAATTCGTAGTTTTCTGTCTTCATATAGAATATAATATAAATCTTAGCATTATTCTATGTAATAATTAGAATATAGCTCCAAACATTTGTCAGCTAACGGAAAAGGAATAAATTTACTCAAACCATTCAATAAACAGAATAACCTGTAAAAATGACAGGAGGATGGCTGAACAACTTGTTAGGATAAAAGAAAGAACAGCTTTAATGCCAGTCTTTAGACTAACAATGGTGTCATTAGAGTCACCATCCAAATAACTCCGCTGCTCTTCATTACAAACGGGAGAGTCATTTATTGATGCTGAACCAGTACAATAGATGAAATTATATTTTAATCACACACAGGGGCCAATTTAACCAATGATGAAAGAAATGACTGTTATTCTGAAACACGGTTGGTAATTTTTAGCCTAATGAACCAAATAAGTAAGCAGGTTATTTGAGGTTTAAGAGCACAAAATATGCAACTTCGAGTAAATATGACCAAATAACAAAATAGGGTATCAATGGGCATCATTCATACTAAAAGCTCACAGAACTTTCTGTAACCATTAGCATTTGGTTTAGTTTAATCACCATTCTGATCAAACCATCTAAAAGACATTACATCAAAATCTAAATTATAAGTGAGTACCATCTGCTCACTTATACTATCTTGCCCAGTGCCTTCCTTGTTAACACATCATTTTAAAACATAAAATATAGGGCGCCTGGGCGGCTCAGTTGGTTAAGCGACTGCCTTGGGCTCAGGTCATGATCCTGGTGTCCAGGGATGGAGTCCCATATCGGGTTCCCTGCTCAGTGGGGAATCTGCTTCTCCCACTGACCCCTCTCCTCTCATGCTCTCTTCTCATTCTCTCTCACTCTCAAATAAATAAATGAAATCTTTAAAAATAAAATAAAATATAAATAAGGTCACTTTATAAAATGAATACTTGATAGTAATTTACATAACACAATTTTTGAGGTACGCAAGTTTTCATTTAGTTTATTTTTTTTAAGATTTTATTTATTTGACAGAGAGAGATCACAAGTAGGCAGAGAGGCAGGCAGAGAGAGGGGGAAACAGGCTCCCTGCCGAGCAGAGAGCCCAGTGCGGGGCTTGATCCCAGGACCCTGGGATCATGACATGAGCTGAAGGCAGAGGCTTTAACCCACTGTGCGACCCAGGTGCCCCTATTTTCATTTAGTTTAAATGTCTAAACACAATACCTAAACTCATGGTTATCCAACAAAGCTTTAAACACAATCTGTTTACAATTTTTATTTAATAACATTCTTCATTTTACTCTTATTCCCATGCTTTATTTTACTCACTAAAATAACCCCCGTTAGACAAATATTAATGCAAATATAAAAAAGCATTTCAAATTTTCAAAGCAGAGTCATGTCCTATTAACGTTAAAATTCATATAAAATTGAAGTATATCTGTTACTAAAGCTACTTATATCACGGGAAAGTATATACCAACACAATATGTATGAAAGCAAAGGTTTCAATCTGATGAGTTAATAACTGAAAATTTCCACCATTTTAAGTTCTGAATATTATTATAGTACAGAACCATAAAACAAATATTTTTAAATATGACTGTTTATTAAAAAATTTTTGATGATACAATAAAGATTTTTTTTTTTTAAAGATTTTATTTATCCATTTGACAGAGAGAGATCGCAGGTAGGCAGAGAGAGAGAGAGGAGGAAGCAGGCTCCCTGCGGAGCAGAGAGCCCGATGTGGGGCTCGATCCCAGGACCCCGGGACCATGACCTGAGCCGAAGGCAGAGGCCTTAACCCACCGAGCCACCCAGGTGCCCCACAATAAAGATTTTTTACTTAACTTTCAAACTCTCTTTTCTTTACCTTTTATCTCCACAGAGTATTCTGAAAAAATAAGTGAATACTTTTGGTGATTAATAAAAATTAAAAAAAAAAAATAATGTATGTTACATTTAGTTGAAAATATGTAAGGACATCATTTAGTGGTTTAAGCTATAGCCCAGTAAGAGAATTCTTGGTCCTACTATAGTTTTTAATCCTTTTAATGTTATACTTATTAATACTTTTTGAAATTTTTCTTTCCAATTGTTGACATCTTAAAAACATGGGATATTTTGATACTACCTGCTTAAAAGATTAATTTTTTGCTGCTCTTAATCCATTTTCATCTACCATAAATATTAATTTCATTACTTTTTTTTCAATTGTCTACTTAAAGTAGGGTTTCTCAAACTTAACCCTATTGACATTTTGAGCCAGATACTTGTGTTTTGTGGAAGAGTTCATGCATTATGGAATTTTAACAGCATCCCTGGCCTCTTCTAGATGCCAGGAGCAGCCCCACAGTTGTGACAACCAAAAATGTTGACACACGTTGCCAAATGTCCCTTAAGGCACAAAACTGCCTGTGGTTGAGAACCTCTGATCTAAAGAGACAAAGGGAAAGTGCCACTGTCAACCTCTGAGTAAACGTACACACAAAGCCTGTGAACAAAACATAAGACCACACTACTACCACGCATGTGTATGTCTGACCAGAATCCCACGGAAATCATTCCAATACTTACCCATATAATGGGTCTATCAGCACAGAAGACTACATTTATAGTTCTAGTCTTTTTTTAAAGGGCATGGGAAGAAGCAAAAGTTATTGGAATCTAGACTAACAAATCTGAGCAAGAAGCTGGAGTGACTTCACCACACAGTGAGGGATTCCTTCCGTATTTTCATTGATGTGTGAGGTGCTGCCTGCACCAGGCTACTAAATGGGAGCTAATGACTGGAAGCAGCCAGACTAGCCACATCACCATCCACCCATAAATACTAACCACACTGCAGTTGCTGTTTGCAGAAATGCATTTCTTGTCATCACACCACTGGCACCCGTTGGTATTGGCAGCACAGCTGGCACAGTCTGCGTATCTGTAGCATCTGTCATCAGGAGCAGCTGTGGGACAAACGGGAGACGAGTGCGTCAGGGTGAGAAAGAAAATGTCACACTTCTTCATTCACACATTTTTAACACCTGTCTAAGAATCACTAAGACATTTTACACCATAAATATGGCCAAAAACATGAAAATAATAGCTTCAATATGAACTTAACTTCATATTGAATTTGAATTGTGTTTGCAGGTTTTGAGATTCCTCCTACCCTCATTTTAATTATTCAGTCTACCAGGATCCTACTGCCATTTAACATTTATCCAGTATGGAGGGGGAAAGACTTACAGTTTTTTTATTTAAAAAACCATTACTACACATCGAAAAGAAACATTATAACAAATACTCATTGGTTATCATTCTTCATAAAGATATTCAGAGGCATCACAGTAATCATAGATTCACTGAAAATACATAACTAATTGTAGCATAAAAAAATGCATAAAAGTCCCACCCATTTAAAGGAAATTGAACAATTTTTATCCAAATCATTCACTCATATTTACTAGCAATTTTTCATGTTTGATTTACTTATTCAATGTTTTATAATAAGTATTAAACTAAAACATTAGTCACCAAAATTCTAGAAAATCTTTTAACTCTGTGGTTGGCTTGGCAATATTAAAGAAGGAAAAAAACTACCAAGCGCAGAATAAATTATTTCATTGTATTTCTTAGAAACACAGTAGTTCTTAGAGTATACTTTAAAGCATTTTTTACTTATATAGGAAAATAGTTCATATAAATGTGTGCATGACCATGTTATACATAAAATATTGGTATATGTAATATTACATATAGAATTAAAAGAGAAAACTAAAAATAGCTAATAAAAAATTGTTAATCACTGCTAAGTTCAAACTTTAAAATTCCTAACTAAAGGATTATGAATTTTTAATTCTAAAAGCCATACCAAGGTAACTCTTATAAGCAAAATGTATTACTAGTTCTAGCCAAGTAGAGAAGATTTATGCCAGAGAGGAAGAAAAAAAAAGAAAAACTACCTGTTTTAGGAGGGCATTTTGCCCTAAGGATATTATTACTATTTCCAGATTCCCAAGATTCACAGTGATTTTTATTCCAAATACATTTTATTCCAGGACCAGCATTCTTACAAAGTTCTTCATCTCTGAAAGCCTTGCAATTTGGAGGCTTGTAAACAAGGATATCATTAAGGAGCACACTAGAAAATCCTCCAAATATATACATGGACCTATTAAAAAAAAAAAAAACAAAGAAACAATATTAAGAAAAGTCTAACCTACTAGTTTGAAAAATAAATTTAAATACATTTATCAAGGTAGTAAATAATTTTTCTTAGAAATAGAAAATGCCTCTACATGGATAAAAAGATACACTTTAGAACTGCTATCTAGAATTACAATTTTTTAATACTGACAGTGAACTTAGATACAGAATCTGTGTTTCAGTTTTTACTATCCTCTTAAGAAATAAACCAAAGATAAAATATCAAAAAGATATTCAAAACTTCAATTCGGGAAAAGAAGTCCAGACAATTGCGAAATTAATTCAACTACCAGTGCCGAAGAATTCTATACCCTAAAAAAGCATAATTTTTATTTCCAACATTATGAATAAGTAGAAAAGATCAGAAAATGCTTCAATATTATCTTTTATTATTTAAAAAGAGTAAAATAAAAGTCAACCAACACAGTATTGCAACAAAGAAGTCTAGAGGTTTTAGGTATAAACTCTGAATTTCATTTATTACTGTTTTGAAAGCTAACTGATACCAATTACAGAGTTTCATTGTGGTTAACTTCTACATGCTTTTAGTACCATCCTGAAGAATTTTTACATAAATAGATTAAGGTGGTGATAAGATAAACCTATAAAAATGTCATTAAAAATTACAAATTTTAAGCTAATGAATGACCTACTGTTTCCTGCCACATTACCAAATTTTTGCTGTAGAAATAGAAAAATGAGGGCACCTGGGTGGCTGAGTTGGTTAAGCATCAGCCTTTGGTTCAGGTCATGATGCCAGAGTCCTGGTCTTGAGTCCCACATCAGGCTCCCTGCTCAACAGGGAGTCTGCTTCTCCCTCTATCTCTACCCCCTGCTCACAATCTCTCTCTCTCTCTCTCTCTCTCTGTCTCTCACACACACACACACACACACACACACACACACACACACACTTTCTAATAAATAAATTAAATCTTTTTTAAAAAAGAAAAGAAAAATGCTACTAACTTAAAAGAAGGTAACTTAATGATCATCCCATCCAAAATCCCAAGGGATATAAAGATATTAAAGTTTAGAGACATTAAGGGATTTGTCAAAAATCACAGGGTTAATGACAGAACTAAAATGAGAATCTAATTCTTCTCACTTTCCTTGTTCTCCTTGATAGAAATAAGCAGCTAGCCTTTTTATCATTTCAGTTTGACCTTTTTTAAAGAAGACATTCATTGTCTGATCTCTACAAAAAGAAAAGAAGGCAGGATGATTTTTTTTTTAAGTATCTTTGGTTTTATCTCAGTTTTAACTGTCTGACTGCTCCCCTTTCTCTTAAATATGTTTGAACACAAAAGAATGAAGGATATGGTTAACGAACCAAAATGTAGTCCACAGTAGACTAGGGATACCCAATTCCATTAAGTACAAATGATAATTTTTAAAAAGAGTAACAGAATATGTGGATAGTATGACTGACAAATGTATGTTTTTTTACCCATTAATAACAACTGCAGAGTGTCCGAATCTGTTGACATCTCTATGAAGATTTGGTTTTGGTAATATTTTCCATTCATCACAAGCTAGAAAAAAGAGAACAGCAAAACATAAAAAATGAAATAAAACAATAAATCAAGACAAATACTATAAAACCATCTTTGGTCAAATTGAAGATACAATAATTAAAATTAGGAAGACTTTCATTAACTTGCCATGACCTACAATTTAATAACGCTACTCAACTGGCATCATTCCTTAAATAAAAACAACTTCTGCATAAAATTCCCACAAATAAATTTAAGTGTATGAGAATGATGAAAATGAAAAAAAAATAGGTGTATAGTTTTTAATTGGAGGATAATTCCAAAGACATATCTTTATTAAATAAATCAAGGCTCATAGAGTAAACTGCATGAATACCAATACTGGGCAAACCTATTAGGAAATTAAATTACTAAACCAAATTTTACATTCATGCTTATGAAATTAAATGGAATATAAATAACATTCAGTGAAATAATGCCTAAAAATGGAATCATCAAAATAAAAGCATTAAATCATTTTAATGATTTGGTATTTCAAAATAATAGAGTTCATTTTATATAAAACAGAATGACTTCAGTTGCAAAAATCGAGAAAAAAATTTAAAAGCCTAAATAATTCATGAGCTATATAAAAATATGAAAAGAAAAATGATAATAGAAAACTGTGTATCATTTCAATATAACCTAGCTTCAAAATTGACACATACACTAACATAGCTTTTGAGATGTCAAATATTCAGTTTTCAGTTACTAGGAACATCCTCAGGACAGTGTTTTAGATTTCATCTTCTTAGACATGCCATATCTAAAGGCAGGCAGTAGTATTTAATAAAAACACATAGATGTAACAAATTTTTAAAAACAAATCTTATTTTTAGGTAGTTTAGAAGCCCTCTGGGAAAAAGAGAATAATCTAAAATACAGTTAGTTGTAGAAGTTAAAGTTGTAATAAATTACTTGTTTTCCTATTCATGTGATTACCTCTTTAACACTAGTAATAAAATAATAATTGGGTTTTAATTCAATATTACTACTAATGAAGATCAAAGAAATTATAAAAACCAAAATCATGGTTTAAAAAATAAAAAACTTTTAAAACTGTTTTAGAAAACAGATAGCAATTAAACACACCTTGAATTACATCTCCTGAAGTCTATTCCAAAGAACACAAATCCCCCCCAAGAGAAGTTATTCCTTATTTTATATAATCTCTCTCCTTAATTCAGAAAATACATCTGCCTATTAAATACTCTCAAAAGAGAGTACAGACATATAGAAGCCTAACTATACCTAAAACAATGTTCCCAATATTTTATCCACAGAATCACTTTTCATGTCATACTTTTCACATTAACATTTCTAAGAGCCAATGCTCTGAATATCACATTTTGGGAAATACTATGAAGGAGGCCTATACATACAATTAACATTCTGGTCAATTTTACATGTTACAGTTCATGTAAGAAGTATGCTTACATGTGTATAGTACTGTAAAGCTTCCAAAGTGCATTCATCTAGGGGTGCCTGGATGGCTCAGTGGGTTAAAGCCTCTGCCTTCGGCTCAAGTCATGATCCCGGGGTCCTGGGATCGAGCCCAGCATGGGGCTCTTGGCTCAGCAGGGAGCCTGCTTCCTCCTATCTCTGCCTGTCTCTCTGCCTACTTGTGATCTCTCTGTCAAATAAGTAAATAAAAATCTTAAAAAAAAAGTGCATTCATCTACATAATTTAAAATGGTCTTTGTAAGAATCCAATGAAATTGACTCAGCAGGTATTATCATATGCTGAAAATGAAAAATTAGGGGAACTTGGTGGCTCAGTCGATTAAGCGTCCACCTTCAGCTCGGGTCATGTCCCCAGGGTCCTAGATTCTAGCCCCGTGGGCTCCCTGCTTGGCAGAGAGCCTGCTTCTCTCTCTCCCTCTGCTGTTCCCCCTGTTTCTACGCTCTTTCTCTCTCTCCCTCCCTCTGTCAAAAAAATAAAATCTTTAAAAAAGAAAATTGAAAAATTAGATCTAGGAGAAGTTAGGCAATTTGCTTAAAGCCCATTTGATTACCTTTGTTTTTCTATAAATTATTATAAAAATATTTGACATTTAAAAGTATATTTGTAGCAGATTCTGAAAGATTACTCCCATTTGGAAAGGGTGACCTATAAAAGGCATAGGCTTTGAAAAGAAAGAAAGAAAAAGAAAGAAAGAAAAGAAAGAAAGAAAGAGATGGGAATGTTAGAGACAGTAAGTAAGTTAGGGCAAACAGATTTCAATCATTCCACCCAATACACACACACACACACACACACACACACACACACACAGGGCCAGTGATCTACAAATTGTGTTGTTTGTAGTATTCCAACAACAGAATTAGAAACCTGAATATGCATCAAAGAAATAAAACAGAAAAGAGTCAGATGAAAGAGTAAGACTGCCAGATACCAGTTTGTTACAAAAATCTCCAAGGAAGAATCTTTAAGATCATTTGGGGGCAATCTGTAGTCCAGAAAAGAAAGTGATCCAACCATCTGAGCTAACCTAGGACTAAAAGGTAAGCAATTTGGCCCAGAATCCAATACAAACCAGGCAAGAAGGAAAGCAGATTTTCCAGATGAGAACCATAGAAATGCTCAGAAAAACTCAGAAAAAAGAGGGAAAAAAGAACTAAGAATAAAGACAAGCATTAACTAAAAATTTGGCTTCCTGAGGATTTCTTCTAATTTCATAAGCCAATTTCTTTTGGTAGAAGATGAATTTTTTTCAGTGCACAGAACAGCCTAAAAAATGGCATTACAAACACCTATGTACCACTAACCAGATTCGTCAAACCTAGTATTTGACCATATTTACTTTAGATTTTTTAAAGAAATACATTTTTACAGGTATGACAGGCTCCCTGTGTACTCTCATTCCAATTCAAGCTCCATTAGGTCTTCCTTCTTAGGATGCAACTACTATTCTGTATTTGCTTATCAGTGTTTCTATATATATGATACATATATAGTAATTTTTGTACATGGAAAAGCTTTGTATTAATACAAATGTATATTATAGTATAGAATATCAATTCTACAACTTGCTTATTTTCAACACATTAAGTTTTGCTTTTTATCCTCTTCACATTTTAGCCATTTTTATGTGTGCAGTTCAGTGACATTAAGTACATTTATATTTTGGAAACAACACAACCATCAATCTCAGCACTTTCTTATTTTGCAAAACTAAAACTCTGTCCCTCTTAAACAGAAATTCCCCATTCCCTTCGCTCCCAGCCCCTGCCAATCAACTTTTTGCTTTTTTGTCTATAAATTTGACTACTTTAGTACCTCAGATGAATGAAATCATACAGTATTAGACCTTTAGTCTTCGACTTACTTCCTTTACCAGGTTGTTAAGGTTCATCCATGTTGTGCCGCGTGTCAGAATTCCATCCTTTTAAGCCTGAATGATATCTCATTGTACATATATACCACATTTTGTTTATCCATTCATCCATCAATGGACACCTGGGTTGCTTCTAATCTTGGCTATTGTGAATGATGCTGCTATGAACATGGATGTACAAATATCTGTTCTTGTACCTGCTTTCAATTCTTTTGGGTATATACCTGAAGTGGAATTGCTGGATTATGTGGTTAAGTCTTGTTTAAATTTTTGAGGACCATCCATCCTCTTTTCCACACCAGCTGTACCATTTTATAGTCCAATAAGGAGTGCACAAGCGTTTCAGTTTCTCCATATCCTTACTTACACTTATTTTTCTATTTCTTGATAATAGCCATACTAATGGATGTGAAGCGGTATCTCAATATGGTTTTGATCTGTATTTTCCAAATGATTTTTCATGTGTTCTTATTGGCCACTTATGTATCTTCTTTGGAGAAATGTCTATTAAACAACCCATTTAGACTTATGCACATATGTGGTGCTATATTCTCATTTTAATCATGTTATAACATTCCATATTATGACTATACGAAAACATATTCATCCTTTTAAAGATGAATTAGACTTTTTTCAGATTTTTCCTACTACAAGTCATATGTTGGTTTGTTCACTGTTACACACACCCTCTTTTGCAAGTTTTGAGAGTTTTTCCAGGTAGATTTCTTTTTTTTTTTTTCTTAAGATTTTATTTATTTATTTGACAGAGAGAGAGTGATCACAAGTAGGCAGAGAGGCAGGCAGAGAGAGAGGAGGAGGCAGGCTCCCCACTGAGCAGAGAGCCCGACACAGGGCTCAATCCCAAGACCCCGAGACCATGACCTGAGCCGAAGGCAGAAGCCCAACCCACTGAGCCACCCAGGGGCCCCTCTCCAGGTAGATTTCTAAACGGAAAATTATTAGGTTTAAGGAAAGACATAAGTTCAATTTTACTAGATTTCTCCGATACCCTTTTGCGCTCCAAGTGTTGCACTGACTTAAATTCACATTAGCCGTGCATGACGGCTCTTATTTCACACTTACTCCATTATGTAGCTTTCTCAGACTTTTACATTTTTACCAATCTGATGAATTTTTTTTTCTCCAGTTACTGGTAAGATCAAGCATTTTTTCACAGTAGTTTTTCACCCTTCTGTAAAATCACTGTTCAAGTCTTTGCCCATTTTTCTATTTGATTTTTGTTTTTTACTTTTTTTAACAAAGATTTTAAATAATCACTACACCCAATGTGGGGCTTGAACTTATAACCCTGAATTCAAGAGTCATGTGCTCTTCTGACTGAGCCAGCCAGGTGCCCCCAGAATTTTGGTTTTTCGATAATTTTACGAATTCTTTATTAAGTATTCTAAATATCAATTCTTAGCTAATTATATGCATTAACATATATTCTCCTATGCTGTGATGTGCATTTTCATGTAGTTTATGGAGTCTTATTTTACCAAAGTTTGTACATAAACCTGATCAAACTTATCATTTTCTTCATGATTTATTCTTTCTACTCTTAACTCAAGATTTTAAAGATAATCTCCAATATTCTTCTAAAGGATGTACAGTTTGGCTTTAACCATTTTGATCTTTAATCCATTTGGAACTCAGTTTTGC